AGATAGATAGATAGAGAGAGAGATAGATAGATAGATAGATAGATAGATAGATAGATAGATAGATAGAGAGAGAGAGAGAGAGAAAGAGAGAGAGAGAGAGAGAGACAGAACGCATTAAACGCGACGAAATAAAATATTTTCGTTCGGTATAATAGCCTGGAATGTGGCTCGCACTTTCGATCTTGGAAAACCGTTTCGCAGCATCGCTCGAGTGGAATGGAGCATACAAAAATCCGCGAAAAGTTGTTCCACGGTGGAGATTCATATTTAATCAATAATTTCGAATGCATTATTCATTTTAAATTTAAATTACAATTCCGGCTTAATGAACTACCCGTTCTAGACTCCAAATGAACCGTCATAAGCGTGCAAGCTCATCGACGGATTCTTACCGACTCATTCTATTAATATCATTAGTAAAGGGTGGGCCATCTGTTGGTTTCTTTTTTCCAAATTCTCACCAAAAAATCGTTTAATGTTGTTAAAAATTCTTCTGCTTTATTACACAGAGTAAACCTGCCGATTAATTATGAAAAATAATTTCATTTCAAATGGCTGCGCCACGACTGGCTTAACCTTCCGACCCAATTTTTCAATACACCTTCGATTATCTATGGCTTCATGGTGGCGAATATTTTATACGATTTTTATACGATTTTTATACGATTTTACACGATTACGTAAATTTTTTCTTACTTTTTCATATTTTTGTTTGCGTTGTTCTTTCACGTTTTTCTTTTCTTTCGACTTTTGCTCCTATTTTTCATTATTTCTTCTGCTTTCTTCTGTTTTATCCTTTTTGTTATTAATCTTATTTGCATTGCATTCACTTTTATCGCCAACTCCGTTCTTTCCCTCGAGGTTATGTTTAGGTTACGCATCGTAATTCTGCATATTTTGCACGTTTAGCTAGTAAATGTAGCTATTCTAGTTACCGTGCGACTTTTACGTTTATTGTAAGACCAACATGCAATTCCACAGGTATTTCGCTGAAAGAATATTTTGCGGTGTAGAAAAAAATGGTCTTTTTATTAATTCTATTTATCCACTAAAAACAATATGGTTACTAGTATAAGTTCTGTTGATCGTTACGAACTGCAGACAATTTCTAATAATGTAATAATATTATCATATATCGCATATCATACAACAAAGTAAAATAAAATAGACAAAATAAAACAGGAGAATAATATAATATCAAAGAAAATAGAATAGAAACAATAAATTAAACTCAAATAAAATACGATGATTTATGCAACGAATTTAAAATTATACTATTATTAAACTATCGATACTAATCATAACAACTAATCGAATAAGAAAATATGATTAATAAAGATTTGAAAAAATACGAAAATAAATAAATAAATAAATCGGGACAATTTAAGAACGTTGTTATCTTCTCTCCAATTTATTAAAATTGTCAAAAGGAGAAATACATTTTTATTTAACATCCGTTCCTTGCAATCGAATCAAATAATTTTTATTTTGCATAATGTTCTGCAATCTAACGATTAATAATACAGATGCCAGAGATGGTGCAGTGGTCACAATCGATGCCCGACTCGACTCGACTCGACTCGACTCGACTCCCGAAGCAACAGACATCGAAGTTACGAGGGACGAGCGTTGACTAAAAATCGTAAAAAGACGGTAGAAATGATGTCGAGGGTTGAAGAGGTTGGTGTAACACACTGATAATTTCATGAACGAGGAAACTAATTTCCCATAGGAGGACATTCCACGCAGTTTCGCCCGCAGAGCCGCTACGGTTATCTGGTTCTACCTTCTTGGAACAACCGCGTCCCATCCGATCGGTGAAAGGCGACGGTTCTCGATCCGAAGATCTCGCTATTAATCCGTAAAGATAAACCGCGTTTGGCCATCGTGGCGTCACGAGTCTCGTTGACGCGAAATTAATTTAATTAAACGGGAACGCTTCGAGGCAACGGGTTCCGGCGCGGCGCCACGTAACGAAGTGGAAGCCGCGGCACGGCGCGTTGCGAAAACGGAAGTTTCCGGCATTCTTCAAATTTTTCCGTCGGACTCGAGTGGTTTCCACGTTGGTGGCGGACAACGGCCTGGCTCGATGCTCTCTCTCTCTCTCTTTCTCTCTATTTCGCTCTCTCTCTCTCTTTCTCTCTATTTCGCTCTCTCTCTCTCTCTCTCTCTCTCT